CGTCTTTCGATCTTTCGTTTATCTCGATGCTCCACCACTTTACTGAATTTTACATGTTCCCTCTCGGACGCCGTTTCCTTTTTTCTCTCCCCTTTACCTACTCTCCTTCGGACAAACTTTTTGCTCGGCACCCCGTCCGTCCTTCCGGTTCTCCGTTCCCGTTTCTCTCGCTTTAATCTTCCCTCCGCCTCGCTCGACTCTCTCTCTTTCTCTCTTGCTCTCTCTCCGCGCCAGGTTCTTCTTTCCACGCAGTTTTTCCGCAGCCGGTTCTCTTTGACTCTCGTGTCTTTTTCCTGCCTCTCGACAGGCATTCGTACCTCTCCCCGTATTCACTCCCCGATTCCCCTGTTTCGCGCGTCTCCTTGTACACGTCCCCCTATCGTTCGTTTCACTCCGCGAAAATATTCCCTCCTCTCTCTCTCTCTCTCTCTCTCTCTCTTTCTCTCTCTCGTCTCCACTTTCTCATCGTCCCGGCATTTCTCTCGTATTCGAACATGTATTCCACCTTCGTTCGTCCTCGAACGCCACGAATGGCACGAGGGACGGGTGGACTTTTCAAGCGTGGGTGTAGTCGCGCGTTAAAAGACTGCTGTAGGGACGGTTCGACGAAAGAAGAACGAAGTACGTAGCGTAATTCTCCCCCGTCTCTTCTTCCGTCGAGCTTCTCCTCCGTGTGCCACATCTTCTCTCTCCGGAGAACATGCCCCACCTTTGGGCTCCCAATTTAGACACGGGTTCCCTCCCCTTCTGTCAAAGCGAGAAGAGGCTCCCACGTGTATCTCACGGACGCATGTTACCCCAAATGCGTTGGTAACTGTGTGTACGGAGTGCATAGAGAACGATCTTCTACCACGTTTTGCACGGCGATGCCGGTGGAGCCGCGCGAGCGCCACACGCGGCCATATATTTAAATAGATTTATGGGAATATACGTGCGCGCGCACGTATAGTTCCCGGTAAGTCCGTTGATTTACATCGCGCCGAAAATACACCTTGTCCATTACGGAACCTCCGCGCGTTTCGAGATAAATACTTATCCGGCGAAATTAAAATCCCTCTCCGCAGCAGCAGCAACAGCAGCAGCAGCAGCAGCA